TATCTTTATACCCAATTCCCTAGGAGTGGTCATGTAAAGTTATTAATTACAAATACTCTAGTTACTGTAATTAGTGTTTCCCTCGAGAATTGTACATTACTAAATAAATTGTTTAAAAATGTGTACTTTTACTTGAGTACATTTTAGTTCTGCATTGGTGCTTGAACTGTGCTGTTTAACCTTTAACCTGCAGTCATTTAATTCTCATTTATTTCATTTCATCTGTTTACTTACAAATAAGCCAACAATTGTTGTGCACTGTGCTGTACAAAAATACAGTACAGAAGATAGAAAGATAAATATAAAACAATGCATTTAAATATAAATTAATAAAATAGACCAAGTATTATAATGAGTTAAACACAGGAGTAAAAAGATGAGACTGTTACTATAATTTAAATCATATATAGAGAAAATGCAGAACTCAAAAATAACGGAAAACTGGTCCATATCCTAGAACCGGCCACTGAAAATGCACGTTCACCTCTCAGCATCAGTCTTGTGTGTGGGTATGACAGAATAATGCTGTCTGTGTAACACAAACATCTGGCTGCCCTATTCACATTTACAAGGTCTGACATGTAAGCAGGAGCCATACCATTTACTTATGACTTCCAGACAAACAACAACATTTTACATTCAATCCTATAATGCTCTAGCAATATTGTGTTTCCTACGAACTCCACCCCAAAATCTGACAGTGGTATTTTGAACTATTTGATGCAGTGGCATAGAAGATTGGGCTGGAGCAATATAAAAGGAGCTACAGGAGTCCAAGCTAGGCATGGGTCGGTATAAGTTTCTGACGGTAAGAAAACCTTAAATAAAAATACCATGGTTTCTCTGTATCACGGTAATGTGATTTCTGCTCTAAATTAAGTTCTTTTGAATTGTATTTGTAAAAAAATAAATGCAAGTTTTCCCGATTGAACAATTTATTTTATTTTAAGAAACATTTATAATATTTTGGAACAGTAAACATGTCAGGCTAAATAGTTTAAACAGTTTTCTTTACAACACACACATATATATATATATATATATATATATATATATATATATATATATATATATATATATATATATATATATATATATATATATATATATATATTTATACATATACATTGGGAATGGTATAACTAGCAGTATTAAAAACTGGACTTTTCCAAACTGCAGTAAACCTTGAAACCGGTTATCGTCCCATGCCTAGTCCATGCGTGATTAAACAAAGGCATGTAAAATGTTCAAGATCTATAAAAGATAGTAAGGGTTTAACCTTTTACACAAGTTTAGGATTAAAAAAAGAGTTCATATTTTGGTCAAATTTAAGAGCAAAATCAAAATCAGCTAAAATTTTTCACTGTTCACCAGTGATAGGAATAACTGTGTTATAAATAAACGACATTACTAACGGCGATACTATTTTCAGTAATACGTCAATGAATGAATTACTGTTTCCCCTGTTACAACACCATTGCCGTTGCTGACAATAAAATGTGCTTTACTATAAATAAGAACACTAAACCCTCACCTTTTTCTCTCTGGGGTGGGTGTTTAATTTTGGGTCTGGGGTGGGACATATAAACATCCAGCGACGATGATTGGTGGGTCTGTGAAAGTAGTGTAACTGAAAATGTGATGATTGGCCTAAATAGAGTACATTTACATTAGGCATGGGCCGGGATAAGATTCTGACAGTATGATAATCTTGGATAAAAATATCCTGGTATTGTGATTACTGCTCCAAAATATATTCTTTTTAAAAGTCTGTATAAAAAAATAAATAAATTCCCATTTGAACACAATATATTTTAATTTTTAAAAGATTTAAAATATTTTGGAGCAGTCATGTTTGGCTAAATAATTCAAATTAATCATTGATTTTTGCTGTCTTCATTAGTTTCAGAAACAGATTTTTTTACAATTTAAAACAGCATCTTTTAATATCTTTTTTTTGCTGGAGTTACTGTTGTCCTTAAAACCAAACAAAAATGTATATAGCAAATCTTACACATACCTTAGGAACGGTATTACAGAAATTTTTGGCGGTTTTAAAAACTTGACTTTTCCAAATTGTTATATACCTTGAAAACGGTTATCGTCCCATGCCTAAATTACATTGTGAGAGATGGAGTAGTGCGGGTGTTAACACACAAGCATATGCACATGCATAGTCAGTCGTACACACCAACTACCAGCAGTCAGAATGATTGCAAATTCAACAAGTTTATAGGTAGCCTTGGCAAACTGGAAATATTCAGTGCATCCGGAATGTATTCATAGCACTTCACTTTTTCCACATTTTTTTTATGTTACAGCCTTATTCCAAAATGGATTAAATTAGTTTATTTCCTCAAAATTCTACACACAATAGCCCAGAATGACAGTGTGAAAAAAGAGTTTTGATATTGTTAAATTTCAAATTTATTAAAAATAACAACCTGAAAAGTCACAAGCCTTGTAGAAAAATCACACACAGAAGTAATCACAGCCTTCGCTGTGAAGCTCTAAATTGAGCTCAGGTACATTCTGTCATCTACGCTGAGTGATCGGGGGAGATAGACCTTCGACTGGGAGGTAATCAATAACCCGATGGTCACAGCGTTCTTCTGTGGAGAGAGAAGAACCTTACAGAAGGACAACCATCTGTGCAGCAATCCACCAATCAGGCCTGTATGGTAGAGTGGCACGCCTGGAATTTGAAGGACTCTCAGTCCATAAGAAACAAAAATCTCTTGTCTGATAGAACTAAAATTGAACTCTTTGGAGTGAATGCCAGGCGTTACATTTGGAGAAAATCAGACTCATACCATTCCTACAGTGAAGCATGATGGTGGCAGCATCATGCTGTGGGGATCTTTTACAGCAGCAGGAACTGGAAGAGTAGTCAGGATAGAGGGAAAGATGAATGCAGCAAGAGACATCCTGAATAAAAGCCTGCTTTAGAGTGCTCTTGACCTCAGACTGGGGCGATCGTTCATCTTCCAGCACAATGACCCAAAGCACACTGCCAAAATATCAATGAAGTCGCTTCTCTATGACTTGGTGAATGTCCTTGAGTGGCCCAGCCAGAGCCCAGACCTAAATCCTATCTCTGGAGAGGTCTGAAAATGGCTGTACATCGTCGCTTCCCATCCAACATGACAAAGCTTGTGAGGTCCTGCAAAGAGGAATGGATAAAAAATCCCAAAGACAGGTGTGCCAGGCTTGTTGCATCATATTCAAAAAGACTTGAGACTGTAATTGCTGCCAAAGATGCATCAAAATAATATTGAGCAAAGGCTGTGAGTACTGATGTACATGTGATTTTCCAGTTTTTTTTTTGTTTTGTTTTTTTAAATAAATTTGAAACAATTTCAAAAAAATTTGAAAACTTTTTTCACATTGTCATTACGGGGTATTGTGTGTGGAATGTTGAGAAAATAAATGAATTTAATCCATTTTGGAATAAGGCTGTAACATAAAAACTGGAAAAAGTGAAGCGCTATGAATACTTTCCAAATGCACTGTAAACACTATTTTTCCCTCTTTAAGGAGAAAGGCCAGAATGTTTATGGTAATATTTATAATTATATGTTGAATATTGGTTGTCTCTCGCATTGTTCTTCACCTCATTAAAATAGTGTAGATTAGTGTAAGTGTACAGTTTTGTATTTATGTTATTGTCATTTGACAAATTGATTTTTTTTTAAAGTAATGCAATAGTTACTTTCCCTGATGCTTAATTACTTATGTTAAATTTATTTATTATTAGTATATATATATATATATATATATATGTGTGTGTGTATGTATGTGTATATAATATATATGTAACTCAATTACTAACTCAGTTACTATTTGTGAGAAGTAACTACTAATTACTATTTAAACGCACCCTGTTCACTTTATAAAAGTGTAAAGGACCATAGTTAGAATTTGATTTTATTTTTTTCTCACGGAGAGTTTAAATATAAAAGCTTTCATCTCTCTCTCATTTAAATGCTAAAAAATCATTGATATCCTGGATTGTTCATCAGCTAAGAATTCAAACGTGTGTTTCTAGACCATTTTTTGTCAGTGTGTTTTTTATAAGCAAATAGATTTGGAATCATGTAAAAGAAAACAGGATAGGCACCAGAAAAGAACCTTAAAAAGACACCAGAGGTAAGAGACAACATGACTGGTACCGCAAAAATGTTTACTAGGATATGATCTGAACCAGCAAAGGCACTTCCTTTGACGCCCCCTCAATTTTCAAGCCATAATAAAAGAATGTCATTATTAACTGTATCGAAGGCTGCACTAAGATCTAAAAGTTCTCTGATGAAGGAAAACTAATGTATGATGATAGAAATTGCCAAATGGCCTTATACAACAAACAAATGCACTACAGAAAATTATGTTTTCAAATACATGCACAAATCGCATGTATTCTATCAGTGCTGCACAGGCTGCATTTGCAATGCAAACTGCTGGACACTCATAGCTTTTTAGTCATAATGCAATTTATTTTAAACGTATAATAAATGTAAATTAACTTTATCAGCTTTGTCTGTTTATTATAGGCACATATATTCATATAATGCGTTCCACATTAAATTAATCTTACTCATTAATTAATCTAAAAAAAGTTTTATCTTGGGAAATGTTATTTTGCAAGGAATATATTGATTACAATATTGCCTATTTTCCCAGTTTCATGCAGCCCTATGACCGAGCATATGTTAGAAAGTCAAAACATTTTCACTGGTTCCTTATATCCCTGAGGCGGATTATCAGGCTGTCAACTGCAGGGCTCTCAGATGGTTAGCTGGGGTTAGTCGTTATTGGATTGGATTACTGTGTAGTGACGGGCTCCTCCATAAGTAGATCTTGAGCTAGTAAAAACTGTGGAGAAGAAAGCTGCAGTCAGATTCTGTTGGCCTTAGTTCACGAAGGCTCTTCTATCAAAAACAAAGGGCTAACACCCTAAACTGTGATTGTTACGCACTGATGCCCCTGTTTCCTTTCCACAGATTCCCTCACCAGCTTGCGTGGCAGTCTGGAATCACCAAAGCTGATGAGGATCAACTGACTTGACCAGTTTTGTTCCCATTTTTACTTTTGACAAGGTATGAGATAATATTATGTCACCGATTGGGTGAAATTATGAGTTGGTGCAACATTCAGTTTCAACAACTTATAATCATTGCAGGTATTACTATAATGGGTTGTGGCAGTAAATTCCTAATAGATTCAAATTAGAAAATTTGTAGTGCAAGCGTGAGTTTGTTACACTGTTTTCAACAAAAACAGAAAACGTTTTGTGCACTTTGGCCAATCATTTGATTGTCTTCAGAATTTTGGGACTTGAAAATGCAATTTCTTTTCAATGTCTAAAGCACACATTTTTAAAAATGATGCCTGGTAAGCACAATACTGTGCTTTTAATAGTTTTGCAGCAACACTACACTCTAAAACATATATGTTAATTATCAGTTTCCCTATTTTTGTGTTTTACATGTGTTTTCCTTTAATTTACGATTGTAAATTACATTATGGGACCTTGATCTCTGCTCTGTAGACTTTGGATTTTGAAAAATAATCTCTATAGTTTAACATCAAAATGACTTTTATTGATATTAGTTTGATATAATATAATAAGACTTATTATAGAGAGAAATAAGTCTGTAAAATTACAGAAAATTTACTGGCAGTTTATTGGAACTTTTTTGTTACAGTATATCACTTTAAACTAGGGCTGCATCATATTGGGAAAAATTTGACATTGCAATTATTAGTTTTTTTAAAAATATATATTGTGATATAAATGACTATTAGCTATATTTGGAAATAATTAATTAACTTAGCTTGATTGGGATGGTTCTAATAGCTATTGAATCATTTGCATAACATTTGTTAAACTAATTTCAAGCATGATAAATACAATGTATTAAAGATAAAAGTGACAAAAAAGTTGCTTTACCATTTTCTCGGGAGTCTTATAGTATTCAGCTACAGAAATTGAATAATAACATGTAAAACAGCACTGAATAGTCTTCAACATATTAATACTTCTATAAATTTAATCTTTAATAACGTTACAAACTCTAATATTTCTAGTGCCTGTATGCTTTAAAGGGCCATGAAACCCCCCTCTTTCAGCAGGGTGTTTTCACACCTCTAGTTTGGAAAAAGTCAGGGAAGTGGGTGTGTCTAGCTCTGTTTAGGTGGGAGTGTTGGGGCAGGGAAAGGGGGAAGGATTTTAATAAAGATGGGAGTTTTCATTTGGGCACGCTCTGATTTTCACAGAGGCTAAACAAACACACAGACGCAGGGGAGAAATACAGTGACTGTGTTTAATAACAGTGAAATGTTTGATACCGCATGTCGTATAAGAGAAAAAACCTCTGCATTTCTCGGTAACTCAGATGCACTCAGTAGGTCAGAAAGCCATGTGTGACTATCCTGTCACAAAATGCGGCGAAAATTCAACATAACGGTAGTAAATTAAGTAACTTAGAAATCATTTTAACTAAGGTCTCTCTTTAAACACTGAAAGAGTACTGCTGATGATACGAACTATAACTTTGCTATCTGAATGAACAAAGAAAGGGCACTGATTGCACACATTTACCAAATCTGTAGATTCAGGACTATCAACACCAACTGGAGCCATGTCTTTATTAAAAGGAGACGAGCAGCAAATCCGGATTTCACAATTTCCAGATGCGAAAAGCTCTCGGAAAAAATGTTCTGTACAAACATATTTCTGCCGCATGTCGCGTGCACTGATTCACATGTGAGTCCAGCTGTGCTCTCATAGCTGAAAAATGAAAACAAAACCTTCGTTGCAGCACATTATAAAAGCAACACTGACGACCCGTATCTCCATACAATTCTTCTTATTTTGCCACTTCTTTTGGCAACACAACGTGTCGTCTCTCTGCCGTCTGAACACTGTTTCAGATACAAACAGTTTTCGAAGCTATTATGCATATTAATAAAGTTGCACCGCATACACAATAGAGCGAGCTGATTAGTTTGAACTAAGTATTACTCATGAATGAATGCAGCACACTCAGAGAAGTCATAAGGTACTCCCAGGTACAGACGTCCATTCTACACGCTGGAAAACATGCTAAGATCTCATGGCTGTGACGCAGCTTCAAAAATTAGTTTTAAACCGGAAGTACGAATTTGCTCAAAATAACGCAAAAACAACCAATTTTCACTTTTTAGTGTAATATATGTGTCCTAATAGTGTTTTTAGCAGTGTGGGACACATGTACGACTGTCAACAGCTCAAAAAATGTGTTTTTGTGTTTCGTGACCCTTAAACAAATGCTCACACAAACACAGGCCTTAAAATACATGCAAGTAATTTTTTTGTACTCTACACTTTTAGAAATAAAGGTACGCGAGCTGTCACTAGGGTGGTAGCTTTTCGAAAAGTACAAATTATATTATATAAAGTACAAATACCTAAAAGGTTAATAACTCAAGGGCACATATTAGTACCTAAAAAGTACAAATGTGTACATTGTGAAAAGGTACCACCCCTGTGACAGCTCGCGTACCTTTATTTTTGAGAGTTTATTATGGTTACACTTTGCAATTGTGGTTCCTGGAAAACTATAATATCAGCTCAACGTCATCATTTGCGATATCGATGCTGAACCGATGTATTGTGCAGGCCAGTTACTTTTTGAACTTTTCAAGGTTGAACATTGTTGAAAAAAATCAAGGTCCAATAATGCAATTCAAAAGCAAAAATTAAATAAAATAAATAAAAGGTGGATCACAAAAAAAAAAAGAAAACTGGTAATTTAGGGATACTTTTTACAGTGTAGCTTCTTTTAACTGCACAGCAAGCATAATTAACTCTCAATGGCTGAAAGGTTCAATACACTTGAGTGTGGAGGAAAAATAAATCTTTTTAATCCAATTTATTTTCTGAAAATTTCTCAATAATCAGGTTTAATAATATCTTACAGACGTGGCCTGTGTTTAATATGTGCACATTAAAGGACCCTTTTTCATGATTCAAGGTCTTAAATAATTAGTTCACTTAAAAATAAAAATTCTGTTATTAATTAATCACCCTCATGTTGTTCCAATCCCCTGAGACTATTTTCTTCTTCCTCAGTACACAAATTCAAATACTATAGATGAATAGACAGCAATGGTCCTGAAATGTTCAAAGTCCAGAAAAGGAACCAAATACATTGTCAAAACATTTAATGTGACTTCAGTGGTTTAACTTTGATTAGGGATGCACAATATATCGCTTCGGCATCGATATCGCAAAGTGTAGTCACATTGCAGGATCTGCAACATCACGATGGGATTAAAATGAACCAGGAACCACAGATCTGAACACTTAATTTGTGGACTCATTGCAAAGCCACTCTAACCCAATAGTGTGAATGATTTTTTATTTGGATGTGTTTTGAAGAGTTTAAATGAATTTAAACCATTTGGGCACAAGAAATTATGAAGTTTGCCGCTTTAGCAAAGGTAAATTGTGTTTAATCATTAATAAAATGAAGACTATACAGTGTTATTTGACATTTGTTTATTGCACTGCTGAACCTCAGTATTATTAGAATCCACATAAAACCTTAAATCACTGTTTATATCAGTTTTATTGTCTTAATATATGCTTAATTTGTATATTTTAGTTTGTAATTATATTTTTCTGCAGTTTCATATACAGTTGAAGTCAGAATTATTAGCACTCCTGAATTATTAGCCCCCCTTTATTTGTTTCCCCAATTTCTGTTTAACGGAGAGAAGATTTCTTCAACATTTCTAAACATGATAGTTTTAATAACTCATTTCTAATAACTGATTTACTTGATCTTTTCCATGATGACAGTAAATAATATTTGACTAGATATTTTTCAAGACACTTCTATACAGCTTAAAGTGACATTAAAAGGCTTAACTAGGTTAATTAGGTTAACTAGGCAAGTTAGGGCAATAAGGCAAGTTATTGTATAACGATGGTTTGTTCTGTAGACTATCGAAAAAAATTGCTTAAAGGGGCTAATAATTTTGTCCTTAAAATAGCTTTTAAAAAATTAAAAACTGCTTTTATTCTAGCCGATATACAACAAATAAGACCTACTCCAGAAGGAAAAACATTATCAGACATACTGTGAAAATTCCCTCTGTTAAAAATTGTTTGGGAAATATAAAAAAAAAAAAAAATTAAAGGGGGGCTAATAATTCTGACTTCGACTATATATTTTATGCTGATATTATACTCCCTATACAAAGTCATCCCAATCAATCTAAAATTATCTTTCCAAAAAGTCATCTTGTGAAATTAGATTAATATCACAATAAATAAAGTAAAATATTGCAATTGTAAGTCTTTTCCAATATCGTGCAGCCCTTTATCATATAACCTGCAAGATCACTTTTTTGAGATGATGATTTGGTAATTGGATAAACTTGGTGGGGAATATAGCTACAACACATATTTTAGTGTTTCCATTTTCTCCAATAGCAAAAGAAGAAAACAGTTGAAATGATAAATAGCATTTTTATGATTTACAAAACAGGTTAGGTATACCGTTACCTTCTCAGCTGTTGTTTCAGAAACATGCATACAGCAGTTATTAAGTGATATTTCACAGAAAACTGCAAATTATTGGTTAATTTCTTCACCCTCAGGCCATCCAAGATGCAGTTCACATTTTTTGCTTCATTAATATATAAAAAAAATATTTTAGCTGAAACTGTGTTCTCCCTGGTGATTCATTAACTGTAAGTTAACAAATACTGGCACTCTGAGAATAAATAAAACGTAAACAGGGAAAAATAAAATTAATGTATCAGTGGCTCCTGACACTACAGTCTGTACAAAATACTAATTGTGATTTACAGTGTAATTACTTGTAGTTATTAGCTGTAAGCAAACAGCGTCAGTCTATGTCTAAATGAGATGATGCTATTATGCTCTAAGAAGCTCAAACTTCAGAATGTTGTGAACACGCTCGGGACCTGAGGCTGTTGATTAATTGATTTCATTGCTTGAATATATTTCCTCGAACCCCAAAGTGCCAGCAGCCAATTATTTTCATTTAATGGCCACAGTTTCAGCTAAAAATCTTCCTTAATGCTTTGCTGAAGGGAAATGTCACCTACGTCTTGGGCGGCCGGATTTAGTTTAGTATAAATTTTGGTTGATGTAAATTTTTAATGTAACAAAAATTGTTAAAAATGTACGTTACATTTTAGAAAACAAAAAAATATGAATTTTTGGAATTTTAGATTTGCTAGATTTAAATATTTAATAACTGAAAACATTATTGTGGTCCATAAAAAGAATCCATTTAGGTGTTTTGTTTCCCCCACAGTCCAAAGACATGCAGCATAAGTGAATTGGATTAACTAAATTGACCGGTAGTGAATGAATGTGTGTATGGGTGTTTCCTAGTACTGGGTTGCAGCTGGAAGGGTATCCACAGCGTAAAACATAAATCATATATGGATAGTTGGCGATTCATTCTTCTGTGGCGACCCCTGATAAATAAAAGACTAAGCCAAGGAAAATGAATGAAAAAATTGATAAAAGTGGAGAAATGGCTAAGCCTAGATCTTATTTGCTAATACCTGTGCTCCAAAATACAATTTATAACATGTGCGTTATAATAGTACATAATTTAGGAGCATGTACAAGTTTATTTTATATTTTATAACAGTCTTGAACTATATCTTCAACTTAATTATTGAATGAAAGTGGTTTGAGTCAAACTGTTATTGGATAAATTACTGTCGTCGGAAATCTGTCAAATTTATGTATGCTTAATACCTGTGTGAGAAAACAATGCTCGGCACATCAGATGATTAATCTCAGGCTGTCATTAAAATGGCCTGCCAACTTGCCGTCTAGACATCTCTCCATTGTTTGCCATATGGACTATTGTCTTAACATCTTTAATCCTCAATTTTTTTAAGTGAACACAAGTGTTTTGCTCCATGAATGGCTGAATTTAGCAAAATGCATGCATTGAAAAAACTACTATGTTAAAAAATGGGACAACATGAAGGAAATAAGCTAACTAATTAATTTATACTAATGTAAGTGGATTAAACATGAAACAAATTAAGTTGTCTTAAAAAAACTCAAGAATTGTGTTGTTTCAGCTTATTTTATAAAAGTAGCTGGAACAAACAGCATACGTCATTATTTCAGTGTAGCAAAAATACTGTGTGTATATTTATTTCTGGTCAAAATAGCTTCTGGTAGGAAACAAATAGTCCAATATTGACTGCTAACACCCAGCAGAAAGCTGGAAACAATAATTGTTTAATACGCAAAAAAAACATAAGTCTAATGCAGTCAAAAACTTGTTAACTTACTCACCTGCCTTTCATGTTTGTGTGGAAACAGAATGGGAATCCCTGAGTGTTTCACTGTTTACTAAAAACACTTAAAAATGCCAATCAAGCACTCAATATGGGGGTCTTGGTTTTAAGGATGTAGCGATTAATAGGTTTTCTCGATCAACCATGCTTTAATTCGTCATGGTTAATAAATAGTAAAGTCTTCTCAACATCGCGTTTCTTCACGGAACAAAACTGCTGCAACTAAACAAAGTGTGGCCAACTGTGCGCTAGTTTTAAGTTCCGAGCGTGTACACCGAGTCTGATATGCATGCACGTAGATTACCTATGGCTAAGACGATTAACTAAGGGTCATTCACTTCACATCTTTTGCACTCGCAAGTTCATTATTTCTTTTCTTGCGTGCATGTTGGGAGTGACGTGCACGCGGTGCACACATGGCATGACGAGCTCATGCTTTCCATGTGCACCAGGAGTCACATGACAAGAACTGACCATTCAGCTTTATACTTTGTGTGGAATATACACATTTCTTCTACACCAAAAAGAAAAATAATACTAAATGAAATAATAATGAAAAAACCAAACAAGTTCATAATACAGTTGATCAAAAGTGCCTTTCAGACAGCGCTTCAGAAGCCTTTGAATTTACATTAGACAAATACTGTTTTTCTTATTTTTATTTATTTATTTATTAATTTATAGTTTTTTCATTTATTTTCAGTGTAAAATTATTACTTATGTTTAAATGGCAAAAGCTTCTTTCACTTATTTTTAAGAGCAAAAAGAAATGGACTATTGTTTGTTTTTTATATTTTGTTCTGTATTATTTAGCTAATGAGCAGCAATAAATAACACTTTAAAATATCTAGAGTTTCGTGTGATTTACTAAACTAGTTTTGAAATAATGAATGCATAATAATCATGATAACCGTAATCATTCCTCAGACTATAATCGTACAATCAAACTCTATAATCGTTGTATCCCTACTTGGTTTCTACTATGACATGTTTACACGTATTGTGATTAAGTTTTACATAAACTGCAGTCAAGACAAATGAAGGTCTCCGAGATTTGGAATGACATGAGGATTACTAATGACATAATTTTCATTTTTGGGTGAAATAATGGCAGATGTAATATAAGATATTTAAATGTTTATCAGATATGATGATTTTACATGAATTATCAATTTGAAATGTTTTACAGTTTGTACTGTTTTCAGATGCGGAAAGTGAAATGAAACTGCTCTACTTGTGACTATTTACACAATAATGTTAATTAGAAATCCACATACTTCTGCATTCGTATTATAGTTTAGAAGTTGTATAAAGTACATAAACCAAATTTTTTGATCTTTTAACTTGGCATTTGTTTTTTAAATTTATGTTTTACTTTTAGAGGTGTCAATACTGAAGGCATAGTTCATCCAGAAATTATTTATTTATGTATGTGTTATAATTTGCTTGCTATTCAAGGTGTAGGTGACTTTTATTCTTCATTCAAATGTTAACTATATTTTTTTTGCTGGAACTGCAGTGCTTAGTGTTTCATACAATGCAAGAGAATGGTTACAGGCACTTCATATAATTTTTTGAGTCCAAATAACATATATAGGAATAAATAAATATGGATAAATTGCTTAGTGGTGGCATTGGTTAGTTTCACAAGAAATTATCATAAAAATATGAACATCATTTATAAGAAATATATTTCACTGGCACTATAACAAACACACTGAGCTATAATGATTTGCACTTTATATTTGAATGTATTTTGCGCTGAATGTTGCAATTTATATTAAATGTAATACTATGTAAGAGTGTGATCTCAATCGAGAAGATATCACAGATTTCCTGTGTTTTCTCCATTATGTGACAGAATCTGCATTGCAGACTGTCTTGAATGCTTTCAGAAGAGGTTGTGGATTAAACATCAGTGCTGTGAATAATATTATTTCTAAGTTTGCTTCATAAGATCTTAGTGTATGGTTCGGAAACACAGATAATAATTTTTGTCATTGACTAGTATTTTTTTATGAATGACAGAGTGCATCATTATTTAATAACAGCAAATATTCATTTTTGGATGAACTATCCCTTGAGAAAAACGGGGAATTCCTAGTTAGTCCCCGTGGTTGTTTTTAATGAATAAAACATTAATATGTACGTTTCAATATATGTAACAGCAAAATAGGCTAAAAGTCCCTCCCCACACTCAGGTGAAACCCAGATCTCCTCAGAAATTCGCGCACACGAGTAAGTGAAAGCAAGTTTTGAGGTCGTCCTTAAACTTTTATCTCCATAACGTGCGTCTTATCTCTCAGCGTGTATGTGTATCGTGCAACACTCATATCGACAGACAACCGCAGATCCCTTGAATGAATCTGTCGCTCGGCTCAATGTCATTCATTGAAGGAATCCGCTCGGCCACCTTAAGCGCTCACTGCTGTGTTGTTACATTGTAGCGGAAAGAATGTCGGAAAGGGCCGATGATGACGTCAGGGGGGAGCAGCAGCAGCAGCAGCGCAGAGCGGCCAGGCAGCTGAAGCAGCAGCCACACTTCCAGCGGGGAGAAGCCTCCACAGCAATGGCGACTGTTGCGGAGCGCAGATCCCTGCCTAGTCCCGAAATAATGCTGGGACAGCCTTGGAGCAGCTGGGTCGACGCTGTGAAACTCTACGGGAGCGACGGTGAGTTGATCGGCCGCCGTCGGCCATTGCGTTTCAACGGGCAGCCGCGTCAGATCGCGAGCGTTCGCCCGATTGCGTGCAGTTTTGAAATATTAAGAAACGCGAGAACAAGCCTGCAAGTGTAACTATTCATGTAACACGATGCCAATCGCTTCCTCAGGTACAGAATTGGAAGAAAGTTTGAAAGAGTGCGGGAAAAATCGCGAAGCCATGAGACTCTGCAGAGACGGTGAGTAGTGTTGCTTTCTCTGGTCAAAGGTGTGTTTTTGTTTTGGTGCTGTGTGCACACTTTTCAGGCACCGGCTCACTGTGAAACAAGTGCAGCTGACTTTTGACAGTGCTGCGTTTAAAGTCTGCTGTCGCTAATGTTAAAAACGAGCTCTTAAATGTGTGTTTACATGAACAGTTCTGTGTTACAGAACAGCTCTGGGTTGCATGTTAGCACTTGTGAGTTTGAATCCAATTGAAAACAAACTACAAGTGGAATATGTGGTGTTTTCGAATAAATGTCGTTTAGGAAAATTATTAAAAAATGAGTTTAAGCATTTTTGTGACATTTAAATAGACACCTATAGGCCTAGTCATATGTTTGGATAAGTTTGGTGTAGTAACACGTTTATACACTAGGACATTTCTCTTGTTTATCACACAACTCAATGCAATAATTGATTGAGTCGCAGCATTCTGTGGGTAAATCTAATTAGCTGTGGAAGTGTAAATGACTATAGACTATTCGTTATCATTCGAAGTTAGAGTTGTGCGATATGGAATTGAAAACAAACTACAAGTGGAATATGTGGTGTTATTGTGTAAATGTCGTGCAGGAAATTGATTTAAAAATGAGTTCAAACATTTGTTGTGACATATGAATAGACACCTATAGACCTAGTAATATGTTTGGATAAGTTTGGTGTAGTAACACGTTTATACACTTGGAAATGTTGCTTAGTTTTTTACAAAACTCAATGGTATAATTGAGTCCCATCATTCAGTTAGTAAGTATAGTAAGTTGAGGAAGTGTAAAGACTATTCAACTATAGACTACTTGATATCCCTTCAAGTTAGGGCTGTGCAGTATTGAACAAAAGTGTTATGTGATAGAAGTCTATATAGATTAATATTTGATTTTTGATGCAATATTTTAAAACCACAACAACATATGTTTTATACTGTTTTAGGAAAAGGAAAACATCAACTTTTGTTAGTAAACTGCCATGTTCACAACAAATCGAACATTTTAATTATGTAAACAAACAAAAATAAATCACCACCACTGTGCTAGGTTTATCAACCTGACAATAACAATCAGGAAATAAATCAGGAAAACTACACAGTTGAAAAACTTGAGATAATAATTTTTTGCTTTATTGCTTTCTTAACATGGCTTGCTTGATCATATTTTAGAATCCATACAAAAATTATTACATATTTTTGAACAAAAAGCACCTTTTATGCCCTGCTTGTTTTTAGAGATGTACATTGAAATATATAAGTACATTTCCTGATTTGCTGAAAAGTCCTTGTGTGTGCCAGTGGTAGGCACAGAAAGTTGCAATTGAAAAAAAAATTGCTTATTTGTTGCAAATCAATGCTAATATATATATATATATATATATATATATATATATATATATATATATATATATATATATATATATATATATAGTTGAAGCCAGAATTATTGAAAAAATTATTGACAATTGAAAAAAATATTGCTTAAAGGGGTTAATGATATTAACCTTAAAATGTTTTTTTTTTTAAACTGCTTTTATTCTAGCCGAAATAAAACAATTAATTGTTTCTCCAGAAAAAAATATTATAGGAAATACTGTGGAAAATGTCAGTGCACTGTTAAACATCATTTGGGAAATATTTTTAAAAAGGAAGAAAAAATCACAGGAGGACTAATAATTTTAATGTATTAAGATATTTACATTTGCAATCAATTATTTACATAAATAGTTTTGATGTGTTGTGTAGCCTTTCTGCAAGCAAATACATGATTATAATTACAAAAAAAAATTTATTCTGTATTGACTGCTTATGTATTTGTGTATTTTGGGTTGTTTCCATATAATAAATGGGGGAATTCAGAGAATAATGTATTCAGAGATGGCCTGGCCATTTTCCATTTTATGTAATAAAATAATATCGACAATGATAAATGACATACTTTTTGAATGATTTTTGAGTGACCAAAATCATATAATAAAACAACTAGTTGCTTCAGGTTGAGTGGGTGATCACCTTGTATGTTTATTTTGCTTTAACTGTTGTCTTAATGCATTTTATTTCTTAATTTGATTGAAATTAACGCAAGTGGCTCATGTGTGTTTCTAATATTCAAAGTTTATCCGGTTGTATTTTTCATTCTTTTTGGTAGCATATTAAAGATCCCAACAAATTAGATAACACTTTATAATTGCTATAAATAAATTTTAAAAAATCAGTGATTAATGCCAATGTATTTGGTAAATTTCCATTTAACAAGTGGGAAAACGATCAGGGACAAACACAGACAGGTTGTTCAGACATGACAGAGACTGTCTGGACATTTTCTGTCTTGTATCATAAAATAATTTCAGCTCAAATCAGTATTTTACATCTATTTATTAATTAATTGTTAACTAGCGGCTTCATGATGAGGTCCTGATCACTCTGTCTATTTGTGTGTGTATGTGTGTTGTGTGTGTGTGTGTGTGTGTGTTAATGACTGTCCAAGTTTATTTTATTTCTTAATGACATTTAAATGAACCTAAAGGACACATTTGTTTGTCTAATGGTCAAGACAGCAGTCGATCAGATTATTTAATTCTCGTTTTGTAGCATATTATCGATCCTTGCTAGTCTAATAACGTCTTACAATTGCTATTCTGTATCACTGCAAGTACTATTTTTGTTATTCAAAGACAAATGATTATTTAACATCCACATATTTGTGTATTTCCATCTAATAAGAGTGGAAATGATCAGTTAGATAAATACTAACACAGCCAGGTTCTTCAGACACCATTCAGGACATTCCTCATGTAATATAATCATTTAAGCTCAGATCATATTTTTATATCCATCTTATTTATTATTTGTTTCAGGTCGCAATCCTGATCACTCTTGTTGTGTTTATATTCCATTATTATTATAAGCCAAATGTATTTTATTATTTTATTACCTTTAAATTAATGCAAGTGACTAACTTGTATTTGTCTTATGATCATGGTTGTCAATCAAATTTATTATTACATAAAAAAGCACCAAATAGCAGCACATTTTAAAATATATTTTGAATCTCTTCGATTTACAATTTTTTTTTTAACAGAACTTAGGTTTATCCTAAGTTGTCATTAAATTTATAAAAACGCCATCACCAGGGCTCATTCTTGCTCTATTTCTGCCAGTATAGGAAGCGTGAGATACTGTACCTGTCAGGGCACTTACCTAACCATACATTTGCATTGACAAACAATTGAGCTATCATGTGTGCACCGCTGCTCCATTGCACACTTTAGAGTCAATTGTGGTAGTGTCTCGGAAAACCCAAAGTTGTCGCACAGGAATCTTGTCAAATGTGTCAACCTTTGGGTTACATAAGATGAAAACAACACACTGTGGAGGGAAATCATCACAGGTTTTATAAGTTTTCTATTTAAACTCTGAATTGATTCTTAAGCTGAACTGTTCTCAGGTCAGAGTAAAACCAAAGCTTTGAACACATCTCTGCTGTGGTTTTAGTTTCAGTTTCACCTCTGAAATATTTATGTGAGGATGTATTGAAAGCTGCATATGTCAAGCTGTAGATGTGGAAATTATTGCTTGTATACTTTACCTTAAGAGCACCACATGTTGTTGTTGCTCTTGTATAGAAACTGCTCTGCAGAATGATTCAGTCAAACAAGAAAAAAAAAATGAATTAATATGATAGATTATAATGGTGAAACTAAAATCTGAATTGTCAATTTTGTTTTTGAAAAGCGAAAGATGTTTTATAATCGATACTGGTACCAAAACCATTTAATCGGTTGTTTCACTGAACAAAGACAGCCATTTAGGTTTTTACAAAAAGATGTTAAGTAAAAGATGGCAATTTTAAGGTTGTTTTTTATTTTTTATTTTGAGCTCAGTTTCAGTTTCAGTACAAACTATATCTACATATGGCACTATCCCACTTCATTTGACCATGTTGAGTTTCTTGTGGCAGTTATGAAAGCATAGATGGATAAATGAAATGATATCAAGAGTAAAAAAAAAACTGAATTTCACATTTCAGTTTTACTTGAATGAGTGTTAGAGTTTTTGTATTATTACCTGATTCATTGTTGCCGGCGTTTGACTGAAAAACAAGCAGAGCGTGTAAAGAAAATGAGTCATTCAGTTTCCTTGTTGTTCAGTTTGTCCGGTTTTAGACAGCTTATTAAAGCTAAAATAACAAACTAAAGTTTTCAGCCAATTGCTCTGAGTGATTTGCTTATTTTCTTCTGAAAGTTTTATGGTCACTGTTTGGCTAATGCTCACTAATTACCAATTGTGTATGGATATGAAATCAAAAAGCCTCTGGTCAGTGAAATCTCACATCAAATTGCATTAGTTTCACTTCATTATTGGCTTTTAAAGCATCATATAATTAATACTCGACTTCAGATTAGCTAATCACTTGTTGATCATGATACAACAATAGAAAAACTAACAACCACATTCTGCATTCTCACGCTGACAGGAAATTCTCACTGTACACTTTAAAAATTCTCTGTAAAAGTAATTTTATCATTTACAATATATAATGTTATGATTCTCATGAGATGTAACAAATAATTAGCTACATTTTAATTTTGCATGCCCAATTTCTGTTCTTTATTCTCTCTCAAACTGAAAAAACTAAGCTATAATTAATTTTTAAACAGGAGGCTTGGCTCAGAGTGTTGATCATCTGGTCCAAAAGTGTTAAAAAATGGCTGTGATGGATTTATTTTAAATATATTACTGCTGACAAAAGACCAAGCCCACGATTTTGCTCTCATAACAAACTATAAACATGGCACAGCTCTGCCTTTAGTTGTTCGATAACTGTAATAAAAAGATATACACTTTTACAGTTGTTTTTATTTTACAACTTATTTTTGCATAAATCAAAAAAACAACTTAAAGAAGGATTTTTTTCCCACCTGATAGATGATAAAAACAGCCAATCAGAATCCGTCCTTCTTTACTGTGCATTCACACCGAAAGCAGCGAGAG